CTGGACTGATTTCCAGCTTTGTTCATGGGAGATACCTGATTTAATTTAAGGAGTTATAACTGTTGAGTTTTTATGCAATGAACCTGAACTCTTTTTGAGATGGATTCATCAAGAGGAGTTATAACTGTTGATTTTCTTGTTGGACGAATTTACATTTACTTATAGCCTATAAATAGAGAGCTGAATTCAGCTTCTCAACTCAAACTCTCTACAATTAGAATTCACTCTCCAAGTGTTTTCTAAAGTTGTTCTCTTCGTGCTTTCCAATCAGAAGTGCAATTCCACCTGCAATCCACTCCGGTTTCGGGTGTACAAAATTTGGAGCGGTCGTGTTAACTTCGGGGGACGATCTGCCTATTGGAGCGATTAGACACATTGGGGCGAATTCGTTTCTAAGGAAGTGGTTAATACCACGACATGATTAATTGGTTCTTTATTTATATATATTTAGTATATATTTTTCCAGTTAATGTATCATTTTGCAAAAGTCTATTTTACCAACATTGTATAGAATTGTGAGATTCGTTGATCTCATGAAAGTAAAAAAAGCATAACACAGTTACTAGATCTTCTACTAAAACTGAATATAAGAGTAGGGCAATAACAACATAGAAATTGTTTGGTTGAATAGTTATTGAAAGAACTTGAAATCAAAAGAGAATACTCAGCCACACTTTTGAGTGATAACAAAACATTATAAATAGTAATCAATCCAATTTTTTTATGAAATGAGTAAGCACATAAAGATAAATATCATTTTATTAGAGTAAAAACTCAAAACAACAACAACAACAATAATAACAAAACCCTATTCCCATATGCAATGAGGTAAGGGGGAGGTAAGATAGTAGGCTGCCCCAACGCCTGGTTGAGAGCAGCTTCCGTGGAAGACCTCCGGCAGTCATAAAAATTACAAATAAAGATAAAATGCAATGCATGTATAAATAAATAAATAAATAAATAAATAAATACATAGTTAACCGTTTTTTTAATTTTTATAAGCAATCTTCTTATGCGCGTCTATAATGGGAAGTAATCCCTGCAAATAAATCTCTGCATAAAAATCTCTGTAATATAGACAGAAACGTAAGATCCGACTAAATTTAAAAAGAGGAAACATGAAGAGAATGATACACAGAAGTCAACGATAGCAAGCTACGAGAAGGAGTAAAGTCAAATGTGTTAAAACCTAAACTAAGACAACACTACTCCGCTACCCTAGATCTAAGCCTTCATAAATTCCAATGACAGGAACGTGAAGAAAGTAGAAGTCAGGGAAATTACTACAAATGCATTAAAAAGAGGACATAAGTGTTATAACCTATGATTGTGACCCACATTACTCGGATACCCTGGTCTTAAGTCTCCATACTTTTCTATCAGAGGTCATGTCCTCGGTAAGGGCTAAATCCTTCAAATCAGATCTCAAGCAGTCTTCCCACTTCCGCCTTGGTCGTCCTCTCCTTCTGGCACCGTCGATTGTAATCAACTCTACCCTCCTGACCGTATCCGACGGTTGTCGCCTAAGGACATGCCCAAACCACCGTAGTCTTCCCTCCCTCATTTTTTCGGATACAAGAACCACCCCCAAGGACGTCCTAATAGCAGAGTTTGGTGTCTTGTCCCACAGAGTCCTACGATATGCCCATCGAAGCATTCTCATTTCTGCAGTCTCCATTCTCCTTACGTGATCCTTCTTGATTGCCCAACATTCTGATCCATACAATAGTGCTGGTCTTATTTCCATTCTATAAAATTTTCCCTTAAGTTTTAGAGGCACCTTCTTGTCACACAAAACTTCAGTAGCAGCCCTCCGCTTTAGCCATCTCGCCTTTATACGGTGTGTCACGTCATCATCAACACCCCCATCTTTATGTATCATAGACCCTAGGTACTTGAAACAATCCTTGGAGGGGAGAACATGTCTTTCTATGCAAACTTCTACATCTTCTTCGTTTTGTTTCCCACTGAAGTTTGAACATAAATACTCTGTCTTTTCAATATTAATCCTTAGACCTTTTTCTTCTAAAGCAGTTTTCCAAGTAGCCAGTCTATTATTCAGCTCAGTTTTTGTTTCATCAACTAGGACAATATCATCAGCGAAAAGCATACACCATGGAACACCGTCTAGTGTCGCACAATAGATGTCGTCCATAATCAAGGCGAAGATGTAAGGGCTAAGAGCCGACCCCTGGTGGAGTTCGATTTCCACCGGGAATGCCTGAGTGTCGCCAACTGTAGTCCTGATGTATGTAGTAGATCTACAATACATATCACGAATCGCCCGGATATAAGTAGTTGGGACCCGTCTCGTTTCCAAGGTCTTCTAGATCGTATTGCGGGGAACACTATCATACGCCTTCTCAAGGTCAATGAACCATGTGAATATCTATATTTTTCCCTATATTTCTCCATAAACCGTCAAAGTAGATGAATCGTCTCCGTAGTAGACCTGCTTGGCATAAAGCCAAATTGGTTTTCCGAAACCTTAGTAACCTGTCTGAACCTAGCCTATATCACCCTTTCCCATAGCTTCATGGTATGGTTGAGTAGTTTAATACCTCTGTAGTTGCCACAGCGTTGGGGATCTCCTTTATTCTTATAGATTGGTATCACCGTAGACTCTCTCCACTCCTCTGGCATCTTGGCAATCTCTAAAATAATATTAAAGATGTGTTGGTCAACCACTGAACTCCCTCTTCTCCTAGGGCCAACCACACAGTGATAGGAATTTGATCTGGACCGACAACTTTGTCTCTCCCCATCTTTCAAAGAGCCATTTTGACTTCATCAAACTCAATCCTACTTGTAGGGCAGTCATTGGCCGTAGTATGATGGTCGGCTGACCCATCAATGATACTATCTCTACAAGGAGAGACACCGTCATTAAATAAGCCAAAGAAGTAACTACCCCAAACTCTCTTAATATCATCATCTTTCACTAAAAGAACACCATTGTTGTCTTTAATAAACCTAATACTACCTATATCATTTTTCCTATTCTCCCTGGATTTTGCAAGCCTGAAGATGCCATTTTGTCCTTCATTGGTGTATAATCTCTTGTATATTTCCTCGTATGCCTTATCCTTTGCTTTAGCCACTGTTATCTTGGCTTCCCGCTTTGCCTCATTGTATCTTTGTTTACCTCTCGATCTTTCTTCGTCGTCATTGCATTGTAGAAACTCCTTGAAGCAAGTTTGCTTATTTTTCACCTTAGTTTGGACTTCGTCGTTCCACCACCACGATTCTTTATGTTCCTTGACCTTCCCTGTCGACAACCCAAGGGTGTTTTGCACACCTCTTTGATGGAATTTGCCATATTTTCCCATAACATATCTGCATTATTTGCGTTTGTAGTTCCAAAAACTGTATTAGATAACACCTTACTCCTAAAGTCATCAGCTGTCGCTCCATGTAAGTTCTTCCAAATGATCCTAGGTTTACCAAGTTTAGCCCTCCTATGCGTACTCATCTTGTGGCGTACGCGGAACACCAAAATCAACAATCTGTGTTGTGATGCACATGCCTCTTCAGGGAATACCTTACAGTCAATGCAAGCCCATCGATCCCAATTTCGAACCAGGATGTAGTCGATTTGGGTATACTGTCCTCGGCTATGGAACGTAATGAAGTTCACATCTCTCTTGTTAAAGAAGGAGTTAGTGACCACCAAATCGTGTGCAGTAGTAAATTCAAGCAACGTACGTACCTCCTCGTTCTTACTACCAAAACCGAAACCCCCATGAACACCGTCATACCCGTCGGTTATACTACCTATATGGTCATTGAAGTCTCCCCCTATGAAAACGCTTTGGTCCTCCGGAATGCTCCTAAGTACATCATCTAATTGATCCCAGAAGCAACGTTTCTCCCCCTCCCCTAGGCCAACGCGTTGGACGTACACTGAAAGGATATTCACTACTTCCGCTTCTATAATAACCTTAATCATCATGATCCTATCTCGGTATCTACAAACTTCAACTACATTTTCCTTGAGCATAGAGGATACCAATATACCCACCCCATTTTTAGCGTTATCTGCGCCTGAATACCACAACTTGTACCCATTACACTCTCTAGCGCGAGCCCCTTTCCACCTAGTCTCCTGAATACATGCAAAATCTATTTTCCTATTACTAAGTACGCCGGTCAGCACGAACAAACTCTAAGTCTAGTCTCCTTGTCACCACTCTGTCGAGCCCTCCCCCTATACGCCCTATATGATCTAAAAGAAGGACATGACCTCAAGTAATCATCTATAGTCGAAGCTATGAGGAACTATGAAAAAGTAATCAAATAAACGCTAGAGAAAAGAATATGGATAGTTAAAAGAATAACCACCACACTTCTCACTCAACTAATTCTAAAAATTTCAATCTGAGCTGCAAATTTCAATACTAACAATTAAGATCTACTTAATCCTAGTTTTCTAGAGAAAATAATCTGGATAGTTACAAACTTTTCAAAAATCCTACCATTTGTAACATACTAAAAATACACATAAAAGGAACCCCTTTTATCCCTTTCGTTTCCTATTAAAAAAACAACAGTTTTTATAAATACAGCAATGTTAGTTTAACTAAGCTTCAAACTGATTAATCCCTCAAATCTTAAACTAAAAAAAAGCTTTAAACAAAGGGGGGAAATTCAGTAATTAAGGACGTGAACTGATAAATCTCAAAACCCAAAAACACAAAAAGCATAAACAGAAACAGATGAAATACAGATCTCATACATTAAAATAAATCCAATAAACACCAAATCCATCAAAACATTGATTCAATTTGAAATCAATAAAAAACACACACCCAAACGAAAAGCCAACAAAGATAAGAAGAGGGATGGAAAAGGAGCAAACTTGGAGCAGACGAAGGGAGTCGGTTAGTCAGAAACTTGTGTATACTCATAAAGCATTTAAACCATTTGCAACCGTAGTAGGTTACCGTTTTCCCTTTTATAGCGATTCTCGCTAACAAAATTTTTGAAAAACAACAAATCTCATGTTCAATTCTCTCAAACCAAAACCTTCCCTCCAACGTTCTCTCGGATGCCTCTCCACTTCAGCAACTTCTTCCAAAACCCACCACTACCATCTCCCTCTCATCTCTTCCTTAAAAGCCGCTGCAACCCATTGCTCCATTTCTCAAGGCCGAAAAACCCATTGCCTCGCAATCAAATCAGGCTTCATTTCCAACCCTTTTATCCAAAACACCTTGCTTAACATGTATGCCAAGTGCGGTTTCATTCAAGATGCTCAACACTTGTTTACTTCTTCTCGTAACTTGGACCCTGTTTCTTACAACATTATGATATCTGGGTATGTGAAATCTGGTCGCTTCTATGAAGCGCGGAACTTGTTTGATCAAATGCCTAAAAAGGGTTGCGTTTCTTATACTACAATGATAATGGGATTTGCTTCAAAGGCTTACTGGAGAGAAGCGATTGGGATTTTTAAGGAGATGAGATATGGTGGTATTTTGCCTAACGAGGTTACGTTGGCAAGCTTGATTTCTGCTTGTTCGGGTTTCGGAGGGATTTTCATTTGTAAGATGTTACATGGTTTAGCGATTAAGGTGATGCTTGACGAGTTTGTTATTGTTTCAACCAATTTGCTGCACATGTACTGTGTTTGTGGGAGTTTAAAGGATGGAAGGGACATGTTTAATGAGATGCCAGAGAAAAATGTTGTTTCTTGGAATGTGATGTTAAAGGGATATGCAAAAGCTGGGGATGTTGAGGTTGCCCGAGAGTTGTTTGAGAAAATTCCTGTGAAGGAAAAAGATGTTGTTTCATGGGGCACCATGGTTGATGCTTATGTTAAAGTGGATTGGTTAAGTGAAGCTTTACTAATGTTTTGTGCTATGTTACGTAATGGGGTTGAGGCAAGTGGCGTTATGATTGTTGATTTAGTTTCGGCATGCGCACGACTGAGTGCAACCCGAGAGGGCTTTCAGCTCCATGGTAGGATTGTGAAGGTGGGTTTTGATTGTTATGATTTTGTGCAAGCAACTATCGTTCATTTTTATTCAGCTTGTGGGAGGGTTGATCTTGCTTATTTGCAGTTTGAAGTGGGTGTTAAGGATCATCTTGCTTCTAGAAATGCCCTTCTTGCAGGATATACAAGGAACGGAATGATCGAACAGGCGAGACGGTTATTCAATGAGATGCCTGAAAGAGATATTTCTTCATGGAGCTCTATGATTGCTGGTTATGCACAGAGCGGGCAACCTAACATCGCTTTAGAGCTCTTCCATGAAATGCTAGCTACTGGTCTGCAGCCAAACCAAATAACAATGGTAAGTGTTTTCTCTGCTATTGCCTCACTAGGCATGTTGAGTGAAGGGGGATGGGCTCATGAATATGTGCACAATAACTGCATCCCTCTTAATGACAACTTAGGTGCTGCTATCATTGATATGTATGCAAAATGTGGGAGCATCGATGCTGCCTTAGAAGTGTTTTGTCAGATCCGAGACGAGGCCTCAACCGCCTCACCTTGGAATGCAATGATATGTGGCTTGGCCATGCATGGACATGCGAATTTATCACTCGAAATATATTCGGAATTGGAAAGGAGGCATCATATCAAGCAAAATTCGATAACATTCATCGGGGTCCTTACGGCATGTTGCCATGCTGGGTTGGTAGAACTCGGGGAGAGGTATTTCAAACGTATGAAGAGTGTAAACAACATAGATCCCGGTATCAAGCATTACGGCTGTATGGTAGATCTGTTGGGCCGAGCCGGTCGACTAGAAGAAGCGGAGAGAATGATAAGGAGCATGCCTATGAAGGCAGATGTAGTGATTTGGGGGACATTATTGGCAGCATGTAGAAAGCATGGAAATGTGGATATAGGAGAAAAGGCTGCAGAGAATTTGGAGAAGTTGGAAACATGTCATGGTGGGGGTAAAGTTCTTTTGTCCAATTTATACGCAGACGCGGGGAGGTGGGAAGATGTATTTTCTGTAAGGAGAGTAATGCAAAGTCAAGGAATGAAGAAATATCCCGGCTACAGTGGTGTTGTCTGATAAAATTTATATTTACATCGATTGGGATTACTATTCTAATCAATATTATATTTAATAAGTGAAAAGATTTTACATCGAAGAGAGATTTTTAATTTACTCAATTTGACATATATGGTCTATATAACAATCAAATTTGTAAAATATTAAGTCTACAACACTAGTTTCGATTTTGCGTATGGGACACCTGGGATCAAACAATATTAGCTTCTTTTTTAACAGGTTACTATTTGTAGCAAGACTATTAGAAAACTGTCTTCGCATGGAAGTCTTTGTTTGTTGATTTGTGTATAAAAACTCTTGCATGTAAAGTTGATTTTTCAAAATGATTGAATGATGAAAATTTAAAGTAGTCTATTAATAATCAACTTAACACAAATATTCTTTATACAAACCCATTCTTAAATATTATACTATAAGACTTTTACATTTCGACACATGGAAATTTTTGTTTCTCATAATGATGGAGCTTAAAAAGTTACACTAAAAAAATGATGTTTAAAAAGGACCACAAAATCACTCCCCACACAAGGAATAATATATATTTAGTAATGAATGAAATACATTGAGGATTGAGCTTCTTTAATTCTACAAGTAAAATTAAGAAACTACTAAAAGTCTAGAATTTTTTTTATTCCACTGACAATGTTAAGCAAATTAAAAAGACAGAAGACCATAAACTATGTATTTATTTTAAAAAAGCAATCAATAACCTTTTTAATTATATATGTAGAGTTAAATACTTCACCATCAAAACACTAGGGGTGTAAGTTGAAACTAGAAAAACTTGGGTCTCTACAACAGAATAATGAAAATAGCATTTGTCTATCTTTTCAACCTAAATTAAAAAAAAAAACTGATTTTAAGAATCATCAACTTTACAAGATGTTCTTCTAGATATGGTGTCAAAATCTAAGAAAATAATTGAGGTGTTATCCCTTGTTCGCTGTGTTCTAGCTTCATTCAGCAAAACATTTGCGATCTTCTCTGCCAATTTCTCCTTCTCCGACTCCTCCCTCATCTGATCCCCAATCATTACTCATTTATTTGATTAAAACAAAACAAAGCTAGAAGCTGTAATATTATTATGTTATAATAAATTACCTGCGCAGCTAACTGGATTGCCTTCTTCACACTAACAACATCCCATAATCCATCACTGCACAAATGGGATCCATATTTAATGAATGTTTGGCAGGAAAATATTAGCTAAGCAGAGAAAAGTATATAAAATAATTTGTTTTCATCAAAATCGACCGAGAACAGTCACAATATGTTTTCACGTGCAAAATTATAAACAACAAAGGATTGATAACCTTGCTAGTAGTGCAAATGCCCCACTTGTTTGATCGATATGCACAGGTTGACTTATATAGGGCTCAGAACTAAAACGTGAATCTTGCTGCTTCAGAAACCTGTCTCCGAGCATCCTTGCAAGGTTCAAACCTGAAACAAATGGACAATTACTCGATATGCACCATCTTTCGGCAATGTCGTCAAGTCCAGTCTCCAGGACGTAATGACTAGATATAGAAATTTACACATACCGCATATTCGTATTTCCCCATCTTTTAACGGTTCCCCTAAACCTTCAATGCGGCGCCTTTCAGAATAACTAGTTAGTTTATGGTCTTCTGTCATTTTAATTTGCTCATCTCCCAGACTGACCCATTAAAATTGAATTTGGCAGTAAGTACACCGCAATAAAAGCAGCATTATGATGATAATTTCATTTCAAATAAATGAGAACATAATATATATACACACACAGCAATATGACTGGATGTACTACAGTGGTCAATTATCTATATTTGCTCGGACTCTTCATATTTCTTACGTTGGATACATACATATATTTGAGGTTCATACTACGAGTAATCATAGGTGATTATCAAAAGTATTCAATATCAGGTAATAGTTAGATGAATTAAAAACCTAAAGTACACCAATTAGCATAAGTAGCTTCTGCCAGATGTCAATAGACTTCTTCATGAATTGCTGACAACAATTTATCCTATATTTTAACTTAAAAAATTACAAAATTACCAAAGATTAACAAAAAATTTATTAAATATGATTATCAATAGGGAATGATCGAAGTGATATTAATCTTTTCAAGACTCCAAATGATAGATTCTGATCATAAAATACCCCAATAACCCTAGAAATCCTACAACTCGAAACAATAAAAACGAAACACTTACTTAATAAGGCAAGCTGAATCCCCAACGTTTGCACATTGTGCATAGAAATTTTCACCATTATCAGCCCAAACCAGAAGAACTGTTGCAGTACAGCCCTGCAAGGAATTAATTATTATGATATGCACAACATAAACGTCAAAGAAGGCAGAAGAAAGAGATCCAGCACTTGATAACGACCCATTAAATCATCATAAAATACCAAAAGGACATGCAAAGTCAACTAAAATAAGTGTAACAGACTGAAAAGAATATGATTCAACAAGACTTGTAGCACATCTACAAATGATAACAGAAGAAATATGGTACAGACAGATGCTAAGGAAAAAAAAGACGGTACAACACAGAGAGAGATTTACAAATTAAAAAAAAAAATCGATGGCAGGAATAACAAAGAAAGGAAGAAAAACAAGGTCAGGGGAAAACCTCATAATAGTAATTCATGCTCGCTTCTGTTCGAGAGAACGCATCTTTAAGAACATCAGAGGCGTCATGCTGTGACAAAACCCTGTCTCTTTTAACAAAATCTGATAAAATGGTAGCAAGCATCTCTGGAAGAATCCTGGACATCAAATTCTTGAAACTTTAGTAAAAGAGTTAAGTCAAAATCTGCATATTGGCTAAAATGAGCAGAACTGCTAATTTTTTTGGTCAAATCAGAAACCTTAAATCTTGAACTGAAAGCATCGTGTTGCAAGAATAATGCAATTCAGGCCTTCAATTACTAATTGCTAGTTTGAAAAAGAACAAGAAAATAGATAAGAACAATTAATAATATGTGTGTATTTTAACCCAAAAATATCCCAGGAAACTAGTCAAAAGTGTTGTGGTTCAATGGGTGGAGTTTGCTGGGTCTGAAATCTTCTAATACTAACCAGTAACTAATATTTCATAGCAGTAAAAGGCACTGACAAAATGATCATAAGACAACAGTAAATGAATAAATCAAGCCAATAATTAGGCTTTGCTTGTTAAGGATAAAAAGGGATAAAAATGAAAATTTTGTTAATCACATGGTTAAGCTAGAAATTAGGAAGGTGTATTATGAAATCCACCAAGGAAAGCCTAAGTCGGCATTTATCATATCAGAAGCTCATGAAAATGGCACTGTTTAAACAAACACAATAAAAAAAGAAAGACAGATGGAAAAAGATAATACTTTGTGACAAGCTTTGAAGACTATGAAACACTCTAGAACACACGATTAACCTATGGGAAATAAAAATTTTATCCGATAGTTAATCGAAATATGAGAAGTCTACAAGCATCCAGAACCCATCTAGGAAGCACCCTTAAAGATGTAATAGGGATACTAACTTGCTCGCAGATTGGGCAGCCTCAGCACCACCATGTCCATCGCAGATACCAAACACCCCAAACTGCAATGTCAGCACAATTATAAGATTCATCAATAGAAGGATAAAAACATCAGGTAAAAACTTGATAACTTGAAAACCTGATCAATCCCAGGAAGAGACCACTGATAAAAGCAAACATCTTCCATGGGAAGCTTCTTTCCTCCTCGACGCAATGACATAGGGTCCGAAACCATACCAACTCCAAAAGGCACCAGGCACTCATTTTGGGATGAAATATGAACCTGTCACGTAAGACAACATGCAATCAATAAAATTAGCTCCACCAAATCAAACATTGGCATGCATTACAAACTGATATGGACATTGTGCTATCTGCAATGTGTACATAAGAGAAAACACTTAACCACAATAGTCTATCAGAAAACTAAAGCAGCTGCTACACAAACAATCATGTCTACAATCCTAACCATATGGGATTTTATCTTATTGAGGCAGCCTATCAACTGTAACTAGAAGTGCAACATTAATGTTCAGTTCTTCAATTTACATCAGCACTCTTGAAAGATAGTTATGAATGCAAATACCTCAGTATGCTGGAGATGTGAATAATGAATAGCTGTTGTTCATGCATAAATTCAGTACTTATGAACATAATTTTTTTTTTTGATAGGAATAGGAAGCCTCGTTAAAAACCTCCCTCATAGTTGACCCTTTCCTAATAGAAAGGATCAAGTAGTGGAGGGAGGAAAAGAGTGCCTCATTTTATTACCAAACCAGATTACATAAGACTTAACAATACAGCAGATGCTTTTACATAAGACTTAACCACTTCTGCTACTTCAAGAACCTACAGCTATAGGAAAATGAACTATACCTAAAACATACAATCAACCGATCCCCTGCTTTGCTAAACTATCTGCCTCCCCATTACAAGACCTTGGAATTAACCTAATTAAAACCACCTTTCCCGAAAGGATCAACAGAATTTCTCTAACCAGAGGCAACATGAAAACTGGTGCCAAAGACGGGGTGTGAATCCACTCCACTGCCGACTTACAATCACTCTCAACAACCAATCTACTAGCAGCAGACCATCTTGAAGCTAAAAAAATTTCGATGCCTCTTTTAATAGCTTTAACTCTGCAACTGGTGGGGACCTTGACCAATATTCTCAGAAAAAGTCAGAAGAGTGCAGCAATTCCAGTCCCTTAAAATGCCTCCAATACCTCCAATCGAGTCTTTTAACTAACAGCTCCATCAACATTCATCTTTAAGAAATCAACAGGTGGAGGAAGCCAGCTAATGACATCATAATCTTTGGAATTAGGATACTTGGCTAGGAACCATTTAGATAACCTAAATCTCACAAGGAAAAAGAGAGACAGCCTATCAAGGTTTAATCCTTCAAACACAATCGCATTCCTTGCTTTCCAAATAGACCAAAAAAAAACGATCCGGGATAAACTTCCAAATCAATGAATTCAACCTCAAACTCCCCCACGAATTAAATAAGGAAGGAGGGTCCTGTGGTAGCACAATAGACAAGTCCCAGAAGCTTGCCA